TTGTTAAGCGTCAATGTTTCAAATTTAATGTAATATATAAGATTCCGTATCTATTACTATATTATATTTATAGGTATTTATAAAATAATATATAACAATACATAATTATATCAATAGATATATAGATTATGTGGAGACAAATGCAAAAAGCCAAGACATACTGTTATGCAATCTTTTCCTGGATAGTGTTTTCTTTACTTTTAATTTTTTATTTCTTTAGATAGGAAATTATAAAATATGCTGTGTTGATAGGCTTTAAAATTGCTTAGAATCAGGTTGAAATAACTATGAGTTTTATTTGAATATGTACATAAACAAGTATGTATATACAAAGAACAAGAAATTAAAACCAATCCGAAATACAACTGTAATGTAATTAGACAACAAGTTCAGGATATAAATTAATGATTTGCTGTCGTATAATAGTTGACGCCTATATTTATAATTGATATAAGATTACGTTATAATCGGAGTACGTAGAGGATAGATATGGATATTCCTAGAATTAGAATTAGAATCCTAGAATTTGTTTTTTTATTATTTTTACAGAGAGAGAAAACATATACTTCCTATTAGTATAAGAACGATTTAAAGGATAGTACAATAAATAGATAAAAACTTGATTCATTAAACCAGATTAGATATATTTTTTAAAGTAACAATTTCTTATATTTATACAATAATCAATAATCATTTAACATTTTCATTCTGAAGTTTTACATACCTACCATACAAATTATTTGTGCATAATTATTGTACAAAAATAGAAACATGATTGAAAAGAACAAACTATTTGTATTTAACTAAAATAAAATCTAATTAAAATTACTAACACGTTTAAATAATAATTTACTTATGGAAATAAAAAAATTGAATGGTCTACTAATGGTTATCTATATTAACATCAATGTTTGAAGTTAATGATCCTAAATACCTCTACCTACTCCGATCAGTGGTTATAATACATACCTACTAATATAATTATATTATATTGAATTAATTCTCTTTGTAGTACCTGCTGACGAAGCAATATTAGTACCACTGTACACAATACAACGAATAATGCAGTCATGCTTTACAGTCACCGTAACAATGTCCAATTATCAAATATCCTAATGACCTACGAATTTGACGAGGATTTGTTGAATCTTCTCATAAACTCATTTATTTTGGAAGCATTTGACAAATTTATATGTGGATAGTTTGTAATCATGTGTTACCATTCAGGTTAAGGTGCTATGCCTCAGTATCCTGTCATTTCTGTGGCATTTCTCACCATTCAAATCAAAAAACAGTTTACAAAGCAACTTGCTTGGCTCTCTTTTTACTCTAATAAATATAATCGGCCCCTAGACACTGCCTACAAAAAAGCAAATGTATGGAATTAGCGACTAATTACTTGCATTAAATATTTCAAATCGACTTTAATTTGTAGACATAAAAGTATGTTTCCCAATGTATTAAATTGGTGGCTAATTTTTAGTCTAAAATTATATATCGATTGGGAGCTAATTCTCTAAAATTTGTTATTGTTATATTATGTTGTGTGTTGTGAATTAAAGATTTATAACATATATTTTTAGATAGTTGTCACATAATTCGTTTCGGATTTCAGAGGAGAGCATACTACGTTTGTGTGGGACTGTGCATAGGGCGCTGGGGTGGGTGCAGCCAACGATGGTGGTAATTAAAGATGCAATATGTAAAAGTAATAGTATATTATAAAAATGTGTAGTAACAAACTATATGAAAGCAAGAGCAATACAAGGAATAATAGGAAATAACAAAACCATAGCAACCGATCTAAAATATAAATATTTAAAAATAAGGAATAGTCGTACCAGCCAGCAGCCCGAATGTAAGGAGTTCTGTACAACGTTGTTGTACGTAGTGATTTTTTTTATCAGTGAATATATTATTGATGTGCCTAGTACTTATAGCTGTTTTAGACATACAATTCCCTGAACACAATTCCTGTAACCACCACGTTTCAGTACATCCGCACCGTCATTTGTTACAGACACAAGCGGAGGTCGGTATGTTGGCGTTTGACTCGTCCAATTTGTTTGTGGTCACCGCAGGTGGCGTGCACCATGTATTAGATGAGAGTAGCTAATTGTAATAATAGGATTAACTTCCACAGCCAGTAGACTAACGAACCTACTGAACTTGTTTAACTATCATTAGTAATAGTAGCGGACGATTATACAAAATGATGACACCACAATTGGTGTCTATATGAAATATTAAATTAATGAAAATTAAGTAGATTCATTAAATTAAAATTAATCGTAACAATATTATTATACAGTAGTAATATAACCGTATCTATTCTCTATTACTTAGCATAGCCTAGTGGTTCATTGCTTCGTCTGGGACTGATTATGTGGATCACACCAAAAAAATTGAAAACTATTCTATAAATTAAGGACTCGGGATAATTATAAGTTACTACAAATTTATAATTTTCCCGGGTTATACACTAAATTACACTAAAAAAAAGGACACGAAGACATTGCTTATTAATACACAGATAATGTGTCTTGTAGTCATTAGGTATTACTGTTAAAGGTATATCATGATTTTCATGATAGAAACAAAATAAAATAAGGAAGTAATTTTTAATTCAGCAACTCTAGATATAAAACAACAAAATTACTCGATCGCTCCACACGCATTTGGGAAAGTTATGTTTCTTGCGTGTTGAAAATAGTAGTAGTGGAACGAGTTTCTTTTCGTAATAACTACTAATATAATAGAGATAAAAATATATTTTCATATGTAGATATATAATAATTTGGTAACGCACTGATTATGCTCGGATTTTTGGTTATATGTAAGCTATGTCGTTCTCCTTATTTTATAGGTCTAAATCAGAGGTTCCCAAACTTTTTTGTGTCGTAGACCCCTTGCAGTTTATCATAGACCCCTGGGGTTGATATAGACCACTTTGGGAATGACTGGTCTAAATTATCAAGATGTCCTACTAACATTGTTAATATGAAAGTTTGTTCTGATGGATGGATGAACAGATGGATGTTTGTTGCTCTTTCTCGCAGAAACTACTAAATAGATTTTGATTAAACTTCACAGCAATATAGTTTGTACATCAATATAATTAATGGACTATCATTAAAAGTGATTGTGTAAATTGCGTAAATTGAGCGAAGACTGATAAAAAAAAAGAAAATGAAAAAAATCTTTAATATGAGTTCATGCATTGCACAAATTTTCAGAATTACACAAAACCTATTCTGGCATTCAAATTCAGTATAAGTGAAAGTAGCTTTAATCAACTCAAATTAAAAAAAATGTTGCACAGTCAATCAGTAATCATTATTTTATTTGAAGGTAACCCGTAACAACCTCATCATCAAGGCTTATTAGAAATAATAATAGTCTATGTGTATACACAAAGGAAATTTATTCATTATATAAAACTACAAAGTAATAAAGTAAACAGAAATATTACAAAGCACAACAGTACAATTATATTAAACTGTGATTATTTAATTTATTGGAGCCATTTGTAATTGACTAGTTATTTAACGTAATGATGTAATTACTTCAAGTAATGGATACTTAATAGCAAAGCAGGTGGCTTTTTACATTATTAATTTCTAGTTTATTATTTATTACCGTGCAAGCATGCACTGCTTTAGTTCAAAGTAATGTAAGTAGCGTAAGGAAATAAATTTAAAGCGAATGAAATGTAGAATAAAAACAATAAATAAAAAAAAAAGAAAATATCTCTTTCAAAAGGAAGAATAGCCAAAACTCTAGAGTTCTGGGTTTCTGGTTCCGGTTCGCTAATCTTATGAATTAGGTAAACATAATTGGATTCAAATATACCTAACGAAATGCGAGAACACATTTCGCTGAAAAAGAAACATTCACGAAGTTGATTGTTAACAATATCTCTGACAGCCTCATCTGGATTTACATTTGTGAGGGCACATTATACTTCAAATATGGTAATAACCACCATCGGGGTTATGGTAGACTGCTCCTAGGTACCGTGATTAGGTACAATGATCACGAGAAGGAATACCTAGGTGGTTTTTAGCGGCTTGGAGTAAGGCAGTATCTGATAGGACACTGTATCACTGATAGGACAGATAGAGGATTTTTACTACGTAAAAAAGTTTATAAGTACCCACGAAAATATGGTAACTCTATACAAAATTATAGGTAGAAAACTTGTATTATCTGTCAATTTATTCCTTGTAAATAAATTACATGTACTGTAATATACGAGTAGGCTAAATATGACTGTAATGAAACAACTGTGATTTTCACACAGATTTCCGCACAGATGTTATGACGTACTATGAACTTGTAGATTACCCTTGCTTTGGCTCTAATGTGGTGCAACAGAAGCTCGTGGTCGCTATTTATTACACCATTATCTGTTATCTTGATAATTTATGTATTCGAACACAACTGTTAGGTTAGGATTGCACTGTATGTATTGTATATGTCATTATTACCTATCTATACATATATATCAAGTTAAAATTATGTTATTTTATTGTTGTGTTTTATGTTGTTTTAATAATTACATAAAAATATAAACAATAATTTGGAAAAAATAAATCAATATACATTAACTTTTTCAGCGCATGAATTAAAACATGTGGTACAAACATCACAGTGCAGGAAAGGTGAGGTGAGGGTGATATGTAATGTAACCTAGGTGACGGATCTATGCACCTTAATTTTATTGTCCCAAACATAATAATTTTATATACTTCAAACTACTGATACCATGAATTTTAGATATTGAAGGCCTTATGTTACTGAAAATGGTGAAATGTAAAATAATATTATATGACTTTGATTTTATAGGTATGACTAGCTGTCACTGGCGACTACGTTTGCGTGTTTTTAATAAAAAAAATTCTTCGCGATACAATTACATATAAGAATATATAAAAAGAGTAGTTTTCATTGTTCAATTACTCAGACTGTTTGCCCTTGTATGGTTACTAAAACTAAATTTACTTAGATTGCTTCAACATGACGTAATATGAAAAGGTTGTCTTGAATACCTGAAAAATTAATGACATTTATTATATTATTAATTAATTGTTTTTTTTATACTTTTTATTGCACCATATACAGAAAGTAATGAAATTATAAATATTCATGTACTTTCGTCTTATCGCTAAGTACATAATCTCTTCCAGACAACTTTTTAGGTCGATAAAGTAAAGATTTGAAAAGATATAAAGGGTAGGTTGCGCGCGTTAAAATAAAAATACAGTAGTATATTTATAATTCACACATAAGTATTTCTTAATCTTAATAATATTATAAACGCGAAAGTTTGTGAGTATGGATGAATGTATGTTACACTTTCACGCAAAAACTACTGAACGGATTTTGATGAAACTTTACAGTAATATAGATTATACATTTGAATAACATATACGCTAAAATTTAAATACATATTATATAAAGTGTACGAATTATACTAATAAATTTTAAGTAAGAGTAAGTGCAGACGAAGTTGCAGGGGTCAGCTAGTAGATGTAATTGTATTATGGTGAATATTATATTAAATTATACTACTTTATATTATTTTATAATCAACATCTTGTTACACTCTTCCTCTCTATCAGATCATAGTCATATTTTATAGTGTATAATCTAAGCACCTCTTTCAACCTTTGTAAATGATAAAATATTATTAAAAAAATGAATAACTTACAGAGATCATAAGTCGAACTCCTGCTCTGAGACCTCCTGGCATTATAATCTGCATAGGTGTCTGAGACATTGTAAGCATTAACAATACATGTTTTTTGTTAGGTACTGACATATCTTCCCATGGGATATTATACACAATACTCGGTAAGTCCTCACTCTAAAAAAGAACAATTCATACCAAAATATGGGTATAACTAAAATGTACAGCTAAAATAGTCATTGATTAATATAGAAAAGCTCTCTTTTACACAGTATTTTTCTCAGCTTTCTTAACCCTATATCTAAGTTAAATCTGGCAACATATTCTAAAAAAAACCATGTTAATCCCTCCATTCATTCTTACGTGAAACCTTAATCCATAAACTGACAAAATAAATAGATAGTTCGTTTTTGCCTTGTAATAATTTCAGGATTTTATCAGATATATAATAGATTTTTAATGAAAATTAAGAGAATTATTTTAGTTAATATCGAATTAATATATAACTGTCTTACCTCCATTGGTATTTGCTCTATAATAATAGAAACTGTAACAATCTGAAGTATTAGGACTATACCCAACACAACGTATACTGGGGCGCTTTCCTTGCTCTAAAAATATAATTATAAATCTATTGATTTATAGAATATAATTCATTAGCAATATACAGTAAAGAAAAGACATAAATAATGTATTTATTAATGCTACTCATGTATAATTACAATAAGGCATACTCATTGCTGAAAGCAATCTTTTCAAGGCAACTTAGTCGAGTAAGTAGTTAAATATACATGTAGTTTATGTAAGTGAATCTAATTTAAACAATTATTATTAATTATCCTTCGCATAAATACATATGTTATTAATATAATTAATAACATATGTATTATATATATTAATAAAATCTAATGTTTCTTTACAATGATATCTACGTTTGTCTTATACTAGTATTAAACATTCTAGAAGGAATTCTCGAAATAATAATGAAAACCAAATCAAATTCCATTTTGCAGTTTAGAACATTAAGTAAAAAACAAATAGATGGACAATGCAACAGCAACTTTGCTTTATACAATTAATGAGATAAATTAATTAACAATAGTAGAAAGATTATTTAAAATTAATAAGAAAAAGATACTTATATACCCCCTTGGGGGTATTCAGTGGAGTTATCAGAGGTGTCGTGGTGAACGGAACTTTTGACGTGCGACATATGGTAGCGAGCGTGTCTACTACCGTTTCTAGTATTGATTTTAGTTTCTTATCATTGTTCCCATCACTGAACAGTCAGAAGATATATAAATTAATACACGAAGTTTTTTCTATGTCGCCAAATTTGAACTCATGTCCTTTTGGCTTAAATCGTGGTAGCAAACATTATGTCATGATGCTGCTATTCTAATTTGATTTAGTAAATATCACAAATTTAATTAAAAAAACAATGTTTACCCCTTCCATTATCTGGTACAATACCAGGCTGTCTACGAATAAATTGGTCCCATAACCTCCGCATACAGAAATACCAAATACATCTTGTATATCATTTTTAATTCTGAAAAGCAATACTAAAATATACATTAAATTGTCAAAATTGCATTCGAGCTCTGTCTACCTATTTGAGTCACCAAGGTGATGAAATTACAGGATAAGATAACATTTTCATATTCTTCACTGGAATGGCAACACATGAGTATAAACAAATATATCATATCATATTCATGATGCTATACATAATATACATAGGCAACCACTTAGCATCAAATAGGCCGTGATAATTACTTAAAAGAATAGTTTTTGTCACACAATAGACCCGGCACTCGCACTATGGATCCTACATATAGGTCAAACTATTTGCTAAATAAAGTCCAAATATTATTATACTCACTCTTTCACAAAAATATGATATTTGATAATATCAGTTAAAGTTTTCTTTACCTCCAGGTTATTCAAGCCATCCCATTTCTGTGACGATATCTTATATTTCAAAATTTTTATGTGACCGATTAAATGAAATATTATACATGCATATATTCCATTTGCGAAAGCAATAATACTAGAAGCATTCGCAACTAGGTATACATTTAATGAATGTACCATTTGCCAATTACGATAATTATGCAAATAATCGAATGGATACCACAAATGAATGCTTGTTTCAAATGTTCTCGTTTTGTTATTTATTATTAGATCCTTATATTTTAAGCTTGTGATAGCGGGACTGATTACCCATAGTGCTCCATCTGTAAGTGTTAATATTATAAAACTGCCCACCGCAATACGTATATAAAGTTCAGTTTCAACTGTTATCTGAAAATAAATAAAGATTTCCATATAATAAATACGTTATTGTCTATTTCACCGAGGTAGACTAAAAAGTTATCGGTGTGCTTACGAAGCAGCTTGCTTTGTAAATTAAGTTTTGTCAGTTGTAGAGTACGATTAGGCAGTAAAATTATAGGATAAAAGATATAACTTTTAATCATCTAGAAATGAAATTATGTGAGCTTGTTTAATAAAAATATTTAAAGAGATAGGATTTTCAATTGCTACGTAAAAAGTAATTTAAATAAAAATGGGGAGTAGGAATAGTGATTAAAGAATGATGATAATAATGAATGATTTTGACTTCGACATTTTACTTAAGAGCGTTTCTCTTGGGTTTAGTATGTACTCTTTATTTTTCTTACCTTTTTCACAAAATTGTTTTGATCTTTTATATGACATAAATGAAAATGTCGAAAAAACCTCTCAGTTATGCTCTTATATTTCTTCGTTTGTGCTGTAAGTAGCTGTATCTAAAACGTGAACAAGAGAACGATGTGTAACTTATAATTGTGCTAAATTGTGACAGGTGCTCAGTACTTGTATTAATCAAAATATTTATCATACAGACATGTAGGTATGAGTTAAATACAATATATTTATACTGCCATTGCTCATATGTACTCTTATGGGAAAGTTCTGTTTTAAATTACCGAAATAAAATTAAGTAGTAAGACGTCGGTATCTTATTTATTTCAACCAACAAGTGACATAGTTAAAAAGTGAAATACAGAATCAAAATAACGAAATCCTGTGCTGAGGTTCAAATACCTAGCTAGTTCTGCTCCATTAGTTCTTTTTAGAGTTTAGAGTCACTCTTCCCTCTGCACTCGCTTCCATTTTCTTCCGGTGAAGCTGTAAAGCTCAGCTACGACCAACAGTTCGTAGAAAAGACAAGAAAATGCAAATATCCCTTATTATTCCTGAATGGCAACCCAGGAAAGGAACTATTAGCGTCAAATGTGATTTCCGTACTGTTGTTTATGTATATAGGCTACAGCTGCGACTTACAGTAATGTAGGTCGTTCACTTCTTTGCCAAATGTGGGTAATTATAGAATTTAATATTAGCTATATTACTATTGATTAAATACAGTCTTATGGGAAAACCGGTTTGAAACCAGAAAATATCAGTGCACTTACGTTTATCAAAGTCGCTACCGGTATCAATACGAATATACTCGTAATCGAATCAAAAGATAGTTTACTGTAATTAAATAATATATTTATGATCTGTGATACCAGTGTCATTGGGGCAAATATTAAAATTAAATTAGTGTTTATTTTGAAAGCCAGATATTCTATTTTATTTTTAATTTTTTCAAACCCCCATGATTCTTGATGACCCATAGCTAAATAAGTCATAGAATACGCTAATATACGATACATTAGTTGTTGTTGTGGTGGACGTCTGAAAGAAAAATTGTTAGGTATTAATTTCTGTAGTAGTAGTATTAAATGATCATTACGTAAAAAAAGTTTGTTTCACCGTTCAGGTCGTTTTATCGTGAAGTAATATTTAGTTAGATATACCCACTTTTGCATTTATGATATTAATATCTAGAAAGTTCAATGTTCTGAAAAGAAAACATCATCATCATCATCATCAGCCCACTGCAGTCCACTGCTGGACATAAGCCTCTCCCAAGGCACGCCACTGGGCACGATCTTCAGCCCTTCTCATCCAGTTACTACCCGCAACCCTACGTAAGTCGTCGCTCCACCTACCTTCCTCCCAAAGAAAACATATTTAAAATATATATATAAAATACGCTACCAGTACTTGAGCAACATGGCGCCCTGCATGTGTGCACTCCTGAGCATGAATAAGCTCATGAGTGTCGCACAAGGCTGTTTGTAGTACTACAAGATAATTTGCGGCATTACGAAGAGCAGTCTACCCAAATTTTTGTACTTATATAATATGTGATCTTTCATATTTAAATTTAATATCGTCACTACTTCGTCTGCTCAGAATTGTTAGTTTATCATTTAATGGTGTCTTTTATAACCCTTACTTAAGAAATTATTTATTACCCATTCAGACGTTTATATCCTATTTTTTTAGTATGGATTATGTTTTTTCGAATACATAAATACAGAGTTATATCAGTATTTAGACACAGAAGCGTCTAGGAATTAGACCAGCTCCCCAAAGGCCGAACACCCACTGGCTTACAGAATAGACTCTGATCACCCTTTTTGATAAAAAGACATTAAAAAACTTACAAATAATTATTGTCGCTCATTTTCATTTTTCAAGCAACTTTCCGATTGAGTAATACAAACTCAACTGCCCTTAGATATTGAATTAACCAGATGTAATTATGTAGGTAATTATTTCATTTAATGAACTAATTGTTTCAAGTAATATGCACTTAGTAATAAAGCTGGTGCCTATTAGTAGTTTTTCTTTTTTTCTATTCAATTATACGTTACGATGCCACTGACAATAACTGGAATTTATTAAAAGAATAATATAAGAATTAAAAGTATTAATATAAACCTAATGCTGAGGTTCAGAAAATTAATTCGCAGATTAACCTCGAATTGATTTTCTGAACCTCAGTCTCTTCAATATTGTAAATTGATTTATATATGTATATTAATATATAGTATTCGAACAGATTCGGCATACATCGTCTTACTCAAAAAAGCGGCGCTCGCTATTGTGTTCAATTATGTTTTCAAATAATACATATAATAAAACTTACTTAATTTGGGACTAGATACGATAAGTAGATGAAAAAAAAATTAACATTGCTTTTAGACTGAAGTCACATAATCCCATAGAAGTTGGTCTTAAACCTCTTCATAGGTCCTTTATCCGGGTAGGAGTGCCTTCTGCATTCGCCCCTGTTTTCATTCGGTAAACCTGTAAAGATCAGTCAGTGGCCAACTGGATTAGAATATAGGAAAAATAAAGAAGTAAAAAACATATTAATATTATAATTGGTCATTTTCTTATTCACCTATATTCTTAATCTAGAGTGGAAATGCAAAATACCCCGTGGAAATTAAATCACTTAATCGAATCATATTGTTAGGCATAAATGTACCGACTTGTCTTTTAATTACACTAATGTTTTATTAACTACGAGTACGTATATCAATAGAGTAGTAATCCATAGATTTGTATGTAAATCGTAATTTGTGTTTCAATTTTATAAGTTATGACAAGAAAATGCGATTTAGGTTATTATTTACTTTTTCTTCAAAAATTCATACGCTTTTTATCGTGAATAATGTTAGTAATATCCAACGACTATATATAAATGGAAATATACATTTGTTTTATTTACAATATTAATAGAATTAAAATTATAATAATTGTTCAGGCGCAGTTGCACTAATTTGTGGCCCAAATATTATATTTTATATAGCAACACTGCATCGTCAGGTTTCAGCGGGCCAGAGACAAAATTACGACGGTTACAGTTCATATTCGAAATCTGTCAACGATCGTATATGCATTATCAACACCATCAAAACCCTCTTTTCACTAAAATGCGTAAACAATAATAGTGTACGAGAAAGAATATATAAAACTATTATAAAGTTTCTTCTATTCTTGTTCCTTTATTTAGCTATAGTTTGTCCTAAATAATTGTTATCTCTTTCTCATAGATCTCAGTGATGGATACTTTCATTACAGGAAATACTCTATTAGTGATACATCGAATGGCAATCATTCTCTAAATATATTCGTTCATCGTTATATATAGAAAGTCACTAGTCCGTGTAATGTGAAAATAAGTATAGATATATATTTGTGAAGCAAACAAATAATTGATGAAAATACAATAACAAACATAATAAATATGTTAACTTAATTTCTTTATTTTAATTCAAAAATACATGTATGTATGTACTATTATGACCGCATTATCATAGTAGAACGAACATGAATAATTATTTACAGTATACAAGAAACAAAGGATAAATTAAATTATATTTTAATTAATATAAAATCATGTTAAATATTGTTATGCACGACTCGAATATAAGCGGCTTTGACACCACGTGACACAAAGTAATAAGCCAATATATACCAGTTTTAATTTATAATGAAGTTTGTAACCAATACTATTTTTAATATACCTATTATTAAAAATATTTTCTATACAATATATATATACTTATACTTATAGTTCTTTAGTTGCGTGTATATAAAATTTCCTAAAATTTATAAATTTACTTCAGTATTAAAAATAAGTAATAAATGTTTTTAATTATCTTGTATAAACAAATTAAAAAGAATAAATTATTGATGTGTGTGTAATAATAGATTTCTTTATATAAAAGAACAATTTATTGTTAATTAATTTCTTGGTATTTCGATAACGGTGAAGTTGCCTTTGCCTTCAGGCCCCTGCCTGCCTTGCCCATTGTTTTCTAAATACATAGAATTTAAAATAAATACTTACCTTAATTTGTAATAAAATAATCAATATTTATTATTATGATAAATATTACACGTAATAAGTATTTCATATTAAATCAATTGCTATAGTATAAAGTAATAGTGAGTGCATAATACACAAAAAACTATGTGTATATGTATCTACTAAACAATATATATTTTTTATGTACATCCGAGAACCTTTCCGCGAATTACTTCAAGTGACAAAGTGCAAAGGGATGTTGATCTAGGAGTACAAGTATTTGCTTACAGAAAATAGGTTTGAGATCGAGTATTCCATTTTACCGTCAAATAATCTGTTCCACGTTCTAAGTCGGAAATAGGTTTCAATATTATTATTAAATGTATGATAATAGAAATAAACAGAACAGAACAGAAGGCTTTGATTCTAATAATAACAGAGTAGAATTCCTTGCTACTTTTTACTTGCAATAATATCAGTATATTATTAAAAGTATAAAGTATTAACAAATACTACTTTCAATATAATGCTTGTAATATATATAATAGTTTTTAATAGATGTAGAGGTTAGTCAGTAGCATTGTCGAAAGTAGATATGTGTCGTGGTGAAGAAATCACTCCACCAACTAAAGTAATCCAGACGCGAGCCGCATTCTCTTGGATTAATGTGGTCTGTTATCTGTGTTTCCATCTTCAGAGAGTCATTCCATAACAGTGAGTTGTCCGAGGTCACTAATATATAAAAAAGGAAAAATATTTTGTTGCATTAAAACAATATATAGCTATTTTGGTTTATAACTAATAATATTAGGTATATGTATAATATATATTTGGTTCAAATATAGTATATCATATTAGAAGTTAATTTGCAAATATAATTCAATCCAATAAATATTTTTGTTCGTCACAGACGAAATGTTACGGCAGACCTAAATTAACGAATTTCAAGCTCCAAATGTACTGGTTATTAGTAGCGTCCTCGGAAAATTGTTTAATAAAGTTAAAACTTTATTAATATGGGTACTGCAGGCTCGTTTTCGTGCCTCCCATCCCTACCTAGTCCTTGGACGAGGAGCTCCCTACAAATATACCTACATTATGAATTTATTTGCTATTGACTATAATATATTACGTGTTTAGTGACAGTCGAAAGTAAAAGATGAAGCGTGAAATCAAATTATTATAAATAAAAGCATGAATTTCTGCGCTTGAAAGTGAAGTAAAATATAAGCTTTGCCTAGCTTGGGATTAGACTGCGCTGTGTGAGTTTTCCTGACATATTATTATTATGCACAGGTCTTGGAGAATTTATGCTATTTCTATTCTCATATCATAATTACGCGAACAAAGTCGCGGATGTCATAATATTAGTATTTTATAATGAATATCATTAAATAACTGACTCTTTCCTGATACTAAATATGAGATTGCTATTCCATATACCCTTAACACACGAGTGCACCATTATCACCCATAATATATAAAAGAGTATATTTAATGACGTCCAATTATTTTGGTTCAATTTACGTTTGAGCGTGTATTCGTATTTTTATCCACCAATGCTATGATTACAAAACCAGTCTATACCTACAACTCCATATAATTGACAGCTACTTGTATGCATATAAACCATTTCGAAAAAGTTTTTAGTTTTTGTTTAAGTTACCCCTTTCTTCTTTTAAACTGTGCCAGTTTAGTAGTAAGCGGTTAAATAGACAAACAGAAACAAGGATTTTACGAATGATGGACAAACAGTTATACTTATGACAAAATTTTTATTTTGTCATAAGTATAACTGTGTATAACTAACTAACGTATTGCATTTATATTGTTTTAATACTGCTACCATTAGCTTGACCAGACTACGACTAATCGCCGAAAAGTCAAGCCGAATAAAGCTCTGTTATAGATTGGAAGCCTACCAATGTATAACAGAGCTTTATTCGTTGTCTCATGATACCTGGTTCAGTGGAGAAACAAGTGTTCCTTCAATAACGGTCGAACTTTCGTTTGATTTAC